GGGGGGGGGGCAGTGAGAAAGAGAGAGAAAGAGAGGGAGAGAGAAAGAGAGAGAGAGAGAGAGAGAGAGAGAAAGAGAGAGGGGGGAGAGAGGCTGACAGACAGACAGACAGACAGACAGACAGACAGACACACAGACAAAATAACCGGTAAAATGACGTCATGACTTTGTGTTGTGCGCATGCACCAGGTACAACACGGCCAGCAAAGGCTGCTGGAGGAACTGGCCGACAGGGAGAAAGCGGAGGTCACTCAGGCCATGCTCAACAGTCTGGTCGGCGGCCTGCTACAGTATGAGGTCAGTGCACAACTCTGTTTAGTTTTAGTAGACGTTTTACGGCGCTCCCAACTGCATAAGGTCATATGAGTGCCAGAAGATTAGAGGTTTTACAAGAGAGTAACAAACATAAAAAAGAAGAAGGGGGAATAAGGACGATAGGAAAGAAGAAGCAAATCACACCAGAGCACCTGCCAACCACCTACGCACAACTGTTACTGTAATGAAATATAGGAGGCATTCTCGTGAAATCAGACATAAAAGGTGTTTGGACCCCCCCCAAGAAAAAACCCCCATAAAAATTGCCAATCCGCAGGAAAAATGCCGTTTTCTTCGATTTCATTATTTTGACGAGCGCCTGATTTCACGACAATGCCTCACATTTTTCATTTGAGTGGTTTAGAAAAAAACAATGAAAAAAAAAGTAGGCAGGGGCTGGGTGTCTCAACAACACTGTATTTCATTGCATGTATATGAAGCATGGTTTTCCAAAACTCTTTTTAAGTCAGTTAAATTTAATGCCAGGTATATTAGTTTCTCTTCTTGGGGTCAACTTTCCACCCCTGGTACCCATGATATCTGTTTCCATTCTCTTGAACAATAATTTAGTACCGAATGACCAATTTCAATTTTTTTTTTCACTTACCGGTATCTAGAATATGGCTGTGTCTCTCGTTTAGCCAATGATGAGACAGGTGTTTCACCAAAATTCGAAAAATCGACTTATTTAGTTTTGGAAAACCACTCTTATTATATTAAAAGATCTGTAAGATTTACAACATCACAGCTAATGGAAGTTGGGGTTCAAGGCCATGTCGTCACAGTTATAACTTTAATAAACACAATTATTGTTTTAGTCATTTCAAGTGCTAAAATTCAATTTGAAACATTTTCCAATCGGCTCAATTTAAAAGGTGGTCTTAGGTGAACAGGGTTTCAGTTTATATTTTCTCAAAAACGACCAAAAAATGGCTTAGACAATTATGTTATGACCATGACAATGTCTCAAGATGAAAGTGAAGGGCATAGATGTGAAAACATAAAATGTGCAAAATCTGAAGGAGTGCAAAGTAATGCTCCAAAGTGCAGAACGTCAATCAGTCCTTACGATCACATGCTGAGATTCAAATGCAATACGTGCACCAAACCCTTTGATATATCTGTTTTCATTCCCTTGAACAATCCATTAACAATCATAAACAACAAACAAGTTTCGAAACTTGAAAATGCTTAAAACATTTGAACACACGTGTTAAGACAAAAGCCTCTATTACACTAGCAACAGAAGCTTGTCATGTAAATAGTATACCAACCCACGAAAGCTAAATCATCTTAAGTGCCATTATTGTTGTATTGAGAAAATTGCAACTGAATATGTTGGCTTTGGTAGTTTTTAATGTAAACACTCAAGCTTTCTCACTTTTTCTTCTTATTTTTTTCTAAATGTTAAAAGTATTGTTTAAAATTTGTACAGTAGTCTCCGCCAAAATGCACGCCATACAGAGGCAGGCTCCCCTCAAAGACACATTTTCGTCATATGACGGGGTTCTTTTCATATAATTTATACACATCAATGCGTAGTCACGTCCTCTAAACGTACGTTTCGATCCATGAAACGGGCTCATAGGTAAAGCTTGACAATGGGAAATCTTCAGAATATCCTTTATCGCGTGTATCATGATAACAAAGCAATGGAAAATCTTCTCTAAAAAAAGTCTTCTTTCGCCTTTCACCTTCTTTCCTGCTCTCTAATCAAATTGTGTCGTCTGCTTTCGTCTCCACTTTCTGCCCTACCTCTGTCCCTCCCTTACATCCTCCTCCAGGCTCCTGGCTCTTTCTGCAGCCTTTCTACTGCTACCAATTGGCTCCTTCCTACTGCAGTCTCTCAGCCACATCCCTGATCTTAGGGTAAGTAAGATCTAACACCTAGCCTTCTTGAATAAGGGCGAAAAAATCTTGGAGGTATTGGGTTTAGTTTTAGTAAGGTTTCACGGCGGTCGCAACTGCATAAGGTCATATTATGAGTGCCAAGGGATGGATGTCAACAGAGAAGTCCAAACAGGGAATCAGGCTTACTCTGCTCACCTTTCTAGCCTCAACAGCACAAAGTCTGCTCCGACTATCAAGGCACCCTGGAAATAGCAGTTCACAATAGAGTGACAGACATATAAAAAAGAAATAGAGGAAAAATTATGGTAGTAAAGATGAGGAAAGAAAAAGCAGTAGTTCCCCCTTTGTTGTTCCGGCACAGTATGAGCATGACATTGACAAATCAGCCCATTTACAATTCTACTGTGCATAAGAACATATTAATATCCCCCCTTTGGAAATGGCCTAAAGACACTTCAGTCAGTGGTACTGCCCTGGGGGGAGGGGGGGGGTATTTTGTGCAAGTTGCACACATTAAAGATTCCTTAGTGGTCCTAAAATCAGTAAGAGTAGGAGCCGCCACCCAGGCACAAAATTCAAAATTGATTCCTACAAAACAGAAAATGCTTAATGTGTCCTTGCATGCTCATATGACCTTAGGCAGTTGCGAGCACCGTAAAACACTTTTTTTTTTTTTTTAAAAAGACTCCACCCTTAGAGAGAAGAAATCTCACTCTATGATAATGTGCAACACGCATGAATACTACAGAACACTCAACAGGCCTTTTTATAAGATTTATGCACACATAGAGCTTATAATGTACTTGTTCAGCGAATCACTAGAGAGCGGGTCTCTCAAGACGTCTGATTTATCCACGCAACAGATGTCAGGCAGTCAGGAGAGGTCATCTGCAATCAGGGAATACTTTATAAAACATTTACGTTTCATTGCATTATGGGTGAAAGCCACCTCAAGGGAGGTTAAAGTAATCACTAAATTATCAGGAAAATTAGATGATTGCATCTCTTCCCCCCTTTGAACGGGTTCACATAAAAGCACTATGCGTTGAGGTAGAACGTACTGTAACATTCAGTGAAGTATAATCAAATTTATTCACGTTGCATTATCTAATAAATCATGCAATTGAGACAATTAATTTTGCTATCAAGGGTTGATAATATGTGTAACAATGCATTGGAATCAGGCGCTCATCAACTTTAAGACATGTGGAGGTATTGGTATTATCTTAAAGCTTGTTCATTTTTCTTCTTTTCCATTTTAAAAAAATCAATTTATCTTAAATAGAAGTCCAGATACTCATGATTGAAGCAAGTGGGGGTTGTCGCAGTTTCAAATTTAAAAGTAGCGAGAAAATGGCCGCCAAAGTTTGGTGGGCTCCATAGCTTCAGAATCTTTAGAAACTGAAAATCTACATTTTTTAACCTTTTATCAATGTTTTTCAGTAAAATCCATACAGAAATATGTTTTTAAATGGACAGAAAAGGTGTTACGCCAAGAAACAAAAATCTGATAAAAATTGCCAAACCGGCGGAAAAATGCCATTTTCTTCAGTTTCATTACTTTGACGAGCGCCTGATTTCACCATGCTCCCTCACATGTATAATATTTGCCCAAAATGACTAATTGGGATATGTGAAGGTATATGACATGTATAAGGACCAACAGGTAACTTTTTGCATCCAAAATCAAAAGGTAATAAAAGCAAAACAATTTGACTTTGCATTAGGCAACAACTCCACCAAAGAGCAGCTAAGAAACTGATTACATTGCTGTGAAGAAAATAATCTTTTGATGTTTCATGATGAGATGCAAACATCACATTACACTACAATTTGTGCATACAACTAAGAAACTCCAGAGGAAGGGTTGCTAGTAACTTTTGTAGCCCCTGCAAGAAAAAACAGAAAAAGAATACTTTTATAAATTAGTTTTGAAATGAAAGCATATATATGTTTTGCTTTGGAAACGGTTTTGTTCAACAGCTTCTGAAAAAGCTTTTGTTTGCTTAGAAGTACTTTTTCAGAGGCCAAAAATCAAAATTCACTTAGCTTGGAAAGGCTTACTGTACTGTGCTAGAAATATTTTTAAAAAGCATTAAAATTTCCATCAATTATATTTAGTCTCTACTTAGACAGCACACAATCAAGTTGTGAAGAAAAAAATTCCAATACAGTCTATTATAAACACAGGGAATGAATGAAGGAATTTCAACTGTACTTATCTTCAGCAATCACTGACACAAACATAATTTTCTGTTTTAACGACCCTCAAGTCTGCTTCAAAGGGTTATTCAATAAAGAAATATCCAAAGAATTTAATCTGATGTAAATCTTGGTCTATCATAACCATACACAGATCTAACTAAACATGCAATGACAAAACTGATACAAGGTATTGCAAGTTTTATAGAGACAGAAAGTGTTTTGTACAGTAGAATACACTATAACTACAAGTGGAAAAAAATATGGTACAGTCGAACATGCTCCAATGGCCACTTGTCCATGGCAATCACCTGTACAAATTATATTATAACTAGCTGGGTACCCCCTTTTGATGAACGGACTCAAAAGAATCGATTATCAAGTCATAGTGGGTCATTGCGCTATGCTTGTGAATGGAAGCCTTACTTGTTTACAATGGTGTCTTAGAAGACGGACTTTCCAAAGATTAGATCTAAACAAAACTAATGAAAAACTGAAAATTAAACTACAGTGACTTCAGACGCCTTAATATAACTGTGCACCCTTTAAATGTTTCTGAACCCCCGATAATTTGTTCAAATTCGAAAGTTAAGTTGTTCGGAAGTTTTAAGCGACCGAAGTGACGAACTTCCACAAATATAATATATATAGATTAAAAACACACTCTCCAAGATTTCCAAGACATTCTCCTCGACAATGTGTGGCCATCTCAAACAATTTCAACTGTACTTTGTACAGTAGAGTTCAGTGCAACTACAAATTTTGTCTACAGCGATTTGTAAATACCAAAGTACTAGGACAACTCCTTAACTCCTGCTTTCCTTTTAAAAAAAAACCCCATCTATCTTACTTATCTCCCCTCCTTCTTTTCTGCGTCTGTTTCTCTCTTGTAACATCTCTAATCTTCAGCACTCATATGACCTGTGTTGCAAGTACCATAAAATAACTTACTTAAACAATAGTAATGTGCACCTTACTTATGTGCAACAAAACCAAAAGAACAGTCTCCTTCCCCTATGCCTTGCTTGTACAGCACTGCCGTCATTTTGTAAAGTACAGTGCATGGAGTTTTTACAATTTTACAGGAGCGCCAAAAAACAATATTGCCACCAAAAATACAGCATTTGCTTTTAAGATAACAAGGAAGTAATTATCAAAATTGTATTCTTAAAAATGTTGACCTGGGATGTTTGCACAGAGTTTGTTTTCTTGGTAACAAGGTTTTTGGCTCTCCTGTAAAATTGTTTTAAAAAATAACCTACGCCTATACTGTACTTTTAAAAATGACGGTAGAGCAGAGACATGTGTCCCACAATGCAATTCAGGGAGCAATACTACTTGTACTCGAAGAAACACACCACGTAATGCATTAAGGAAAGATATAAATTGTGGGAAAATGTAAGAAATTATCATTCATTAAGCAGTATATCTATAGGCTGGAAGATACCCTGCTGTTTGAACAATAACGCACTTTAGGTCTTCCTTACAAATATGATGCAGTATGGAAAACAGCGCTCCTCTCTAGAGAAGAGGTTTTTTTAAAAACTATTCTGCACAAATAACCTTGTCTTTGATGGCTTGAAAGAATTCAAAATAAATAAATGGAAAGCACTGATTAATAATAATTAGATCAATAACATTTGCACACATATTTCACAGTGACTTGTCAACAAGTCCAATTATTATAAAAAGACTGATTATATTCTAAATACAAAATTTATACACATTGAAAACTTTTGACAAGAATCTTTTTCCCAGCAATCCCAACTACAGCACGGCTGAAAGTCAATGAAATTTTTTACTGCTGTAGGTCTACACATAGGAAGAAAATTCAATTATTATTATCAAAGAGTTCATAAGTTTTGAAATTTTGCATAATAAGCCGAAGTTTCTATGAGCTTTAAACATACACCTCTAGACCTTTTAACGCCCCATTAAACAAAGAGCAAGTCACAAGGACAGCAGTATTAGCTGCCTTTTCCGTCAATCCATCAGGCTGAGTAAAATGGAAGAAGGCAAAAATTCTCAACCAAAACTTCTGACCAGCTGACTGGAGCTACTATTGCCCTTGAAAACAGTGAAAATATTAAAAGCTCTGCACAGTTGACCTGAGCAGCCTTGACAAAGTTAAACTAATATGCATAAAACGACTGCATAAAGTGTGCTGATAGAAAAGCAGAACTTTTTTTTAAAAAGAATGACGAAAATAGAAAATTACAGTGTGAGAACCCTTTTCATCATTTAACAAGAATTATCTGAGTAGATCAACCACCACAATATAGTATAGCTCTGTATAAAAAAATAACATTTGATTCAATAAATACTTGTCCTGATTCCTCCAAGTCCTGATCTATGTCGCTCCATCTATATTATCATGTGAGAATAATAACCCAAGACTCCGCACAACAAAACCATTTGGCATCATGACATGGCACACAGAGAAAGAAAATCCGATTGGAACTAGAAAAAATTGCGAGGAAAAAAATGTGTAAAATACAGCCACTCTGGTTACAACAGCTCCGAGGATGGTCACAGTACAAAAAAGTTGCTGAGAGTTGTTTCACACAAGTTGGTTGGTAGGTTTGGGGGAAGGGAAAAGAAGAAAAATTTCAGGTAGACATAAAGTCTACCCCCCCCCCCCTTCCCCCACCGGCCAACCCCATTTCACATTGCTCGACCTAGTGTACAACATCTGGGGTCACAATGAAATTGCAGCTATGCCCTAAAGAAACAGGAAGTATTAGGTGGTAATCCTTGTGATACCCAAAGACGAAGAAGGCTATACTTTGCTTTCATCAAATTTCACTCCATTCAGGAAGAGGCAGGAGGCATGAAGGGTTTAGTAAAGCGAGGTGATGGAGGTGAGTACGCCCGGTCTATGTCTCGGAGAAGAATCAGGCTTTTGAGGGCAGGGGGGCACTGCAGTCTCTTGGTTGCCCAGACAACGTTACGGCCCGACCGCATGACTGACTTTCTCACCACACGGCGAGCCTGGTTCTGGAGAGAGGTCACGCGACGGTGAATCTTCTTCTTCGAGCTGTTGCTGCTGTTGTTGCTGCTGTTGTTGCTGCTGTTGTTGCCACTGTCATCGTCCTCATCGTTATTGTTGTTATTGTTATTACCGATGGCTTGCTGGTTTGGAATCTCTTGGGCTTGCTGTTGTTGTCGCTGTAACCTTAACCCTGCGGAGGTCGCATCTCCTCCCCGGTCAGTCTGTCCTAAGCCAACCATTCCGTCCTGACAGCTGCTAGAGCACACCTGTAGCTTGTGAAGCAGCATGGAGAAGTCGCTGGGCCGGGAGTTGATGAGAACCCGCACCAGGACATCCGGGGACGGCCCTAGAGGGTGGCCGTGGGCCGACAGGAGGGCCATCAGGATCTCCATGCCCTGACAATCGTTGTCGATGTGCTCGTGGCCACGCTTCATCAGCTCGGCCATCGCCATGGAGACGGCGTTGCTGTGTGTGAGGGTGGGGGTCAGACCCACGTGATGGTTGGTGGTGCCGCCGGTGAACTGGAGGTAGCTCCAGGAGAGCCCCCCACTAGGGCGGGTAGTTGTGTAGTCCTGGAGTCGCGGCACAGTGGTGGCCCCTAGACGCAGCAGCTCATTGACCATGTCCGTGTTTTGGTTGTTGATAGCCAGGTAGAGGGGCGGCCCTGACCAGCGGAAGGAGTGCTGGTTCACCTGGTTCACATCCGCACCGTGACTCACCTAAAGGGAGGACAACAACAAAATATTTATCAAAAATGTAACAAATACCGGAAAAAAAAAAGGAACACAGACTAAAATTTCACATACTATTGATCTCTATTTGATTCTTTGAAAAAGCACTCATACATTAATATATGTGAGGCACCGTGATGAAATCAGGCGCTCATCACAACAACGAAATAAAAAAGACCGTCATTTTTCTGGCCGTTGGGCAATTATTTTTTTCTTTTCTTTGGTTCAACGCCTTTTTGGTCCATTAAAAAAAAACTGCGGAGATTTTCCTGACAACATTGATCAAAAGCACAAAAATGTAAATTTGCAGTTTCTAAGGACACTCAAGCTTTGGAAGTCACCAAACTTTGGCAACCATTTTCTTGCAGATTTTACCACTGACAAGCGACCCCCACCTCATTCAATCGCAAATTTCTCCACTTCCAATCAAGTTAGATGGGTATTTTTGTCACCAAAAGCAAGACAAATGAACACGCTTTAAGATGATAGGGATAACCCCAGATGCTCAAAAATTGACCAGTGTCTGATTCCACCGCGTCTTGGCCCATATGCGTACAATTAATCACAATTCCGCACTGCCCTTTTCAAGCTAGATTTATTGTGTCTTGCTAGAGTACACACCCTAATGACGATCCATCTTAATTTTGTATCAGATATACTTTTTACTTTATTGAAAGCCTGAGCTCACTGGAAACTAACAAAACAGGGAGTAAAAAAACGACAGTCAATGAAAAGAGAGAGAGAGAGAGAGAGAGAGAGAGAGAGAGAGAGAGAGAGAGAGAGAAAGAGAGAGAGAGAGAGAGCTTAATGACCACAAAGCCAATGGACTCTGGGTGCAAAAGAGATTATTCCCACAGTTCAAAGCTGTAGTGGATTTGTCTGTGACTCTACAGAGAAAGATACTGAGGCAATTGTAGTTGTTGCTGTTGTAGTTGAAGCAGAGATGTGTACACACAAGCTGAAAAACAGTTTACACTTGTCGAAATGCCTTTAGTTGAGTTTTAGTATGAGTTTTACAGCACTTGCAACACAATAAGGTCATATAAGTGATGAAGATGAGGAGTTACTAGAGAGTAACAAACACAAAACAGAAGGAGGGGAGACGAAGAAGATAGATTTTTAATAGGAAAGATGGAGCAAACCACACTAGAGCATCCACCAACTACCCACTCGAAATATCTTATTTGTATTGTCACTGCTCCACACACAAAAATTAATAATAGAATTTAAAAGATGTTTTTTTTGCTTTGCTTGCCCTGAAAAGCAAAGCCAAATTGAGAAAAGCATTTCTCTAACAAGAGAGCAACAATGTGGTTTTGGTTTGAACTATAAGATCTTTAACTTCAGGCCACCCATTTATAGTGTCCTTGATGTGTTTCTTTAGCAGACAGTAGACAAACAAACCAACTGACCAGAGTCCTGAGAATGTCGGTCAGGTTGTAGTCAATGGCAGTTGTCACTGGCGTCATGCCGTAGATGTCCACAGCGTTTGGGTTGGCTCCTTTCTCTAAAAGCAGCTGTAGTATGAAACGAATTCACCATTGTCAAGATTAACTTCAACAAAATAAAACACAACATTAGAAAAACAGAAAAAAACAAGTAATAGAAATTTGTGAGACACTGAAGTTTCAATGACAAAATCAAGAACGTAGTCTTCATTATTGCTCAGTTGTTACTGGAGGTTTTTAAAAAATAGGTGATGGTGCCTGTGAAGTGAAGAATAATTTGTGAGGCAGTGTGGTGGAATCAGGCTCTCGTCAATTTTTGGGCATGTAGAGTTATTGGTATCATCTTAAAGCTAGTTCACTTGTCTTTGATTGGATGAAAAAATATCCGTTTATCTTAAATACAAGTCGAGATATTTGAGAATGAAGGTGGGGGTCACCTGTTTTCAGGGGTAAAATTAATGAGAAAATGGCCGCCAAAGATTAGTTATTTCCTTAGCTTAAGAGTCCGTGGTAACTGAAAATTCACATCTTTTGTGCCTTTAATCAACGTTTTTCAGTAAAATCCACACAAAAATGAGTTCTTTAATGACCATAAAAGGTGTTGAGCCCAAAAACAAAAATTTGATAAAAATTCACAAACTGCGGAAAAATGCAAGTTTCTTCACTTTGATTATTTTGACGAGCGCCTGATTCACCACGATGCCTAACATTTGTTCTTGGCTTTAGAACTAGCTTTTCCAAAATAAATAGGTACAAAGTTCCCATACATATAAATAGAATGCATGACTTTCAAAATACGTGCCCCACAACAACTATCGAGTACCCAATAAACAAATATCTATAGTCCTGGTTTCAATAATGTGTGGAAAACCCATTCAGCCTGGTTAGCTGTAGATCTACATTTACTAGAAGCAAGACAATGTTAGCATATTTTAAAAGCTGAAAGCTGCCATTAAAAAGAAGACATACAACAGACCTTGCAGCATTCTTCTTCCAATTACAATAGCTAGCATTAACCCATTGTACCCGAGCTACGAGATTATTCATAGCTGCCGCGCGCTTCCGTCCACCGAGCTACGAGATTATTCATAGCTGCTGCGCGCTTCCGTCCACCGAGCTACGAGATTATTCATAGCTGCCGCGCGCTTCCGTCCACCGAGCTACGAGAAAAGTCGTATCAAAATACCAGTTCACAAAATCGAGTCCGAACCACTTTTCAAGGTTTCTATTGAAAATAATAAATCGCTTGTAGCTTGTAAAAACTTTTGCAAGCCTGTTTCAATCCAGTTTTTCGTCAAGTACGAGTTAGTTTTGTTGTTTTATCACCTCAAAATGCGGGCACAATACGTGTCTAAGTTTAGTGTGTCGAGTACAGACAGATTTTTCCTGTGGCTTGCAGCAAGCCAGGGTGGACAAAACTGTACAGTACTGCTGTGGCAACGCAGGGTGAACTGGGTTAAAAAGTTTTAAAAAATAAAAGTAAAAGAAGTCGGCGTTTACAAACAGTCCCGGCAAAATAAACCATAAAGAACCCATCCATTACCTCAGCAGCCTCTAAGCCCCGGTAGACCAGTGCCTTTATGAGCGGAGTCCTCCCCCACACATCCCGTCGGTCAATCTCTCTGGCCTTGGAGAGTAACAGCCGCATGCAGTCGGTTCTTTTCCCGCGACACGCGTGATGTAACGGGGTCATGCCAGATGTGTCCGTCTCATCCGCGTTCACACCCAGCTCAAGAAGATACCTGGGCAGGACCACAAGCACAGAGATACCATAATGAATCCAATTTAGAGGCGCCAGACGATTTGATTCTTTTTTTGACCGACTTTTCTTTTAAAAATGCAATTTTTATTAACTTTTTCTATGCCTGAACTGATCACTTTTCTCTCTACATGTACAGTTCTTTTATGACAAAGTGCAACTCTTGACTGAAAACCTTTTGATTGAAAATGTCTGCTTCTTCTTCCATATCCTGTATGGCTGAATGATGCAACTGGGTGGACATTCATCCTTCTGACTCCTCTATCATTTTATTTTCTGTCTGCCATCTCACTGTTTCCCCAACATGATGCGGTTACACTGTTTGATTTCAGAAAATTGAACATTCAACATTCTTTGGGTTGATATTGACTCAATGATGTGTTAGCTACTTACTGAATGACATGTTAGCAACTTACTCGATGAAGTTTTAGCAACTTACTTGATGACCTGCTTGCGTCCCTTGGCCGCAGCTCGACACAACAACGGTGGCACAGTCTGTAGGGACTCGATGCTCCCCCAACAGTTGATCTGAGCCTCCTCCTGTAGGACATCCAGGGCCTCACAGTTTCCCTGAAGTGAATGTTGGTGGGAAAGAAGTCAGTGTTGTTGTCTGCTTGGTTTGAGTTAAGAGAACGACATCAACACGATGTTCAAGAAAATATCTCTCTAGAAGGGTCAGCAAATTTGTCTTTTCCCCCCACCTTTCTTTCACACATTTACTTATCTTATTACACTTATAAGGCTTTAACCACAAACAGGTTAACCTTACATTTTCTTTTCTGAATTAACAACTGGTAAGTATGGGCTTTTGTTTGTTTTGTTTGAGTAAAGAGAAGCACATCGACATGTCACATAATAATACTCATTTAGTGCTGGGATACAGACAGACAGAAACAACAGAGGAAAAGTAGAGAAGCAGGACCTGCCAGTGGCGCCCTCCAACCATCCACAAGCAGGGGCTTAAAACAGAGGGATTTGTTACAGACAAGGATCCCCCTTCAGAAATCAGGCCATCACAATGATGCAGCGAACCTAACAACCACAGCCTAGGTCCCAGCGCAGATGTGTAGGGTTAAATTTACGAAAACATCGAAGCACTTAATGTCTTAATAAAATAAATTTCTGCATTTTTGGGAACTATTTTCTTTCTACCGGCTCTCCATTTTGATTGAACATACCTTGTCCACAGCTGCTATAACCTCCTTCAGGAAGACCTTGTACAGGTCATGTGACGTGTCCGTCTGCTCAGGGCCTGGGTGTCGCCAGAAATCCGCGATACGGGTTACAATAATACCCATGGTGGTGGACAGAAAATATACAAGATGATTGCGAATCCTCTCAGGTGTACAGTTCTGTCTTCGTGTCCTTTTCTCGCTCCTTCCACAACAGTAAAGGGGGTGTCGTCACTCCGAAATACCCAAATTTTCACAACAGAAAGACCAGAACTTATTTCTCTTTACTTCGTACAGAATTTTTCTTTTTAACCCTAAGGGAACTATAATCAATGGATTGAAAACATTAACGCCTTTTTTTCTCAACAAAATAACAAACCAGGCTATGGCTTGTTATCGTCAATGTCACATGACCATTGTGGAAGAACCCGACGGTCAAAAGAATGATCACACAAAAGTTTCAGTCAGGCCAGGTACTTCAGCTCCCGTCAGTCCAAAAGTATACCTGAACTGATGAAAACAAGAGAAATGACAAACATCAGTACAAGAATGATAGAAGGTCATCACATAGATCATCTTTGTCACAAGAGAAAAAAAGGAAAGCTGATGTGTTTTTATTTTTACTCACAATGAATAGCCAAGTCAAACACTAATTCAATTTTCATATACAGTCAAACTTGGATATAACAAGGACAGACGGGACCAGCAGTTTTAAGTGAGTCGTGTTATAACCATTACCAAGGGAAACTACCAGTACCATTGCACCTTCAGCTTACTATATATATTCGATTACTGCAGATCCTTTTCCGGTGGGCTGTTTTGCTGACACTGAGACAGAATCGATCAGTGACCCCAACACTTGGGGGGGGGGGGGGATATGTGTTTGAAAGTTTGTGTTTACGCAAGCGATCATACAAACACGTGAAATATCTTGGTTAAGACAAATTTTAATAATTTGACAGATTGAAAGCAAGTTCAAGCACTGGACGATCACTGTTATATCCGAGTCTGTACAAATTGAACCCTGTTAATGTTATAACGAGGTTCATATAACTTACACTAATAGAGAAAAAAAACGGGGATTTGATTTATCACTATTATGTCCAAGTTCCAGTAATAACAGAGGCTGTTATAAATGGACTGGACTGTATTTTAAAAATACTTTTAGAGTAAGATATATACACAACACAACTCTCAGCATATTCAAATTTGAAGCATTTGGGAACAAAAATTAAATGAATTATAAATAGGCAACATTGTATATATTTTTTTTTTTGGTCACAGAGTAGAAATTTTGATACACAATGTACATCTCCTGGCAACTGAGGAAAAAAATATGTATACCAGAGAGAATGTTGAATTCTATTTGTTTTTTTCATCTGCAGATTCCCGAGGTTCCCAACATGAACAAGAACCTACAGACATTTGTTGGTGTCAAACCAGACACCAATAACAACAAAATAATTCACCGCAAGCAGCGAAGCCACAGTGCTAACATCAAGTCTTTGAGAGGGTCCGACCGCGGCCCACAGAACCCCATTGGCGAACAACGACACTCAGAAGTGGCCTACATGAACTACATCACCTCACCGAGAGCCGCCTTCACGGATACTAAAGACAGCCCTAGGGAAGAGTCCCCACGGGTGGGGGGAGGGGGAGATTTGAGCCGGGAACAGATGTACAGAGAATGGAGTGAGGCCGAGAGTGTGATTCAGGACGACACATTTTCTCTCCACAACGTTTTGGTTAACGCTCAGAAGTATCATCTCCGGAGACTAGACGAGGGTCCTAAGAGCAAAATGTTAGAACTTCCACTGGTCAGTCCGCGCTAATGAAACCAGCTCTTTTTTTTAGACTAAATGGCCTGCACTGCGACAATTTGTCAAAGTAAAAAAAATGTAATTTGTGGTGAAAGAGACACATGAAGACAATCATTAGACACTGCCCAACACCAGAACATGGGTGCCATTCCAAAAGCAAGTACACAAGTGACATTCGTTTAAAAATGTTACTATTTTTTTTATTGTTTTGAAAAGGTCACCTGAATACAGTCAACCTGTCATGAGACAGCCACCTGTACAAATGGCCACTTTCCATCTCCCCTCTTGTGTTTTATGTTATAATGGCACTCCATAATACAATGACCTGACTAACGCAGACACTAGATTTTATCAACCAACAACTCAAAAAAGTCTAAGATGGCCACACAAATTTCTCATCAACTGATGCATTGCCATAAAATTATTTATCTTCCTGTTTCCAATGAGCTGACATAATCCATTCACGGGGTTTTTTTGTTAGTTCCTCTAATGAATGAACCGATCATGTTGCATAGGCCTTGCCCCCTATTAACCCAAGTTGATCATTTGGAAACAAATTTTCAGCTGCTGGTAATGTTGATGAGTAAGCCATCACAATCCATTACCCTCGCCCACAATTCTGACCAAATGCCAATCCTAGGTGAGATGAACAGTCGCTCTTGTTTACCCAGTCAATAACAATGAACATCAACATAAACTTGCAATGTGAGAATGTCGCTCATTCGCCGAGTGGTGATAACCCATTTGTTTGTTTTAGTATGGCACTCGGTCTTCCTCATCTGGCACATTCCTTTCGTTTCATCATTGCGCACTGTCATCCTCGTCTGATTCATTTCATAGAATACACCACCAATGATCTCCCTCCCTCATAAAGAAAAAAAAAACATTTTCATGGGCCTTACAACAGTCCCAAGCCAGCAGTTGGAACTTCAGAAGAGAATGATTTTTCTTCATTTTGATCAGTCCTGCCTTGGATGGCTATGTGTTTAAGTTCTAAGTCAGCCACTTTCCCTTTGACAATGGGTAGCCATCTCAGACAATTTCCATTTCTATTGTAGTTGTAGAGAAAAGACAGGACAGAAAATTTCAAGACCAAAGTGCCCCTTGAAAAGAAGTAAGTAAAGCAAGTCCCTAGCAACAAAAGTTAGGCACTCACATGAATAGAAGTTATTGGCTGACAAAGCTTTTGACATGTCATGCACGAGTCAGTGGGATAGGTTCTGTCATGGCATCTTGCAAAGCTCAACAGCAATATCAATGTATCAGGTGTCATAAGAACTATTCTGCCTCATGACTATCATGTTGAAAATTGTTGGAAGTTTAGAAAGGATATAAAACTTATTACCAACAAGATAAACTAAAACAGTTAGTCCAACCACCTGCATGTAGAACTCAAAGAACTTTTCAAATGACCATATATGATATGTAATCATTCTGCTACAGCTAAATTTCACGTCATACAAAAATCATGTCTTTCATTTTCAAACAATCATCATCTATTCGCAAACTCTCTAAGATTATTCTGAGTACTACGCATTATTTATGTTTTTATAACATTTAGTACCATTCATGGCCTTTAAGCCCAGAAATAGATTTTGTCAGCAATGTTTTCGCATCAAGTTGTACTATTTTTTGTGCAGTGAATTTGGGAACCACTTATTTGTGCATGTTCAGCTGCCTAGACCTTTCTGCACCAACTAGAGCCTCATAATAATATATTCATTTAGAAACTTGCAAAGCTAATAAATTGGATTTTCAGAATATACCACTTGCATGCTAACC